GGAGCCTCTTAAAGAAGAAGTTACAGGTCTGTGAGAGCCAGAAATCTTGCTTGTTTGTAGGTGACCAAATACTTATTTTCCACCATAATTTGCAAATAAATTCATTAAAAATCCTACAATGTGATTTTCTGGATTTTTTTCCCTCAATTTGTCTGTCATATTTGACATGTACCTATGATGAAAATTACAGGCCTCTATTGGTGGCTGACTAAATACTTTTTTCCCCCACTGTACATGTGGGTAGAGTTAAAGTGACTATGCATAGATAATAAACAGAGTAGCAGCAGCGTAAAATATGGGGTGGGGGTGGGGGTGGGGGGACAATGCAAATAGTCTGGGTAGCCATGATTAGCTGTTCAGGAGTCTTATGGCTTGGGGGTAGAAGCTGTTAAGAAGCCTCTTGGACCTAGACTTGGCGCTCCGGTACCGCTTGCCGTGCGGTAGCAGAGAGAACAGTCTATGACTAGGGTGGCTGGAGTCTTTGACAATTTGAGGGCCTTCCTCAGACACCGCCTGGTATAGATGTCCTGGATGGCAGGAAGCTTGGCCCCAGTGATGTACTGGGCCGTACGCACTACCCACTGTAGTGCCTTGTGGTCGGAGGCCGAGCAGTTGCCATACCAGGCAGTGATGCAACCAGTCAGGATGCTCTCGATGGTGCAGCTGTATAACTTTTTGAGGATCTGAGGACCCATGCCAAATCTTTTCAGTCTCCTGAGGAGGAATAGGCTTTGTCGTGCCCTCTTCACGACTGTCTTGGTGTGTTTGGACCATGATAGTTTGTTGGTGATGTGGACACCAAGGAACTTGAAGCTCTCAACCTGTTCCACTACAGCTCTGTCAATGAGAATGGGGGCGTGCTCAGTTCTCTTTTTTTTCCTGTAGTCCACAATCATCTCCTTTGTCTTGATCACGTTGAGGGAGAGGTTGTTATCCTGGCACCACAAGGCCAGGTCTCTGACCTCCTCCCTATAGGCTGTCTCATGATCAGGCCTACCACTGTTGTGTCGTCGGCAAACTTAATGATGTTGTTGGAGTTGAGGATCAGCGTGGCAGATGTGTTGTTACCTACCCTTACCACCTGGGGGCGGCCCGTCAGGAAGTCCAGGATCCAGTTGCAGAGGTGAGGTGTTTAGTCCCAGGGTCCTTAGCTTAGTGAGGTGGCAACACATGTCCCGGAGTGGTGGGGTGATTTTTTTCCCCCCTCTGGGGTCCGGCAACCCAACTAGGTAAAACTCCAGGCCCTGTAGAGTATAACAGTAATTAATCAGTTGTAAGAAAGTTTTGTATGGGCTATGATTCGACCAGAGTTTTTTCTAATTAGGTCACATGGTTTAAAAAAGAAAACTCAGCCCTAAGGAGTATAAAAATCCTGTCCAGCTGCAGCAACCTTGAACTTGTTCATATGAATTATATTTTAAAACTTAAAACGGGGTTACATTATATATATATACAGTGGGGGAAAAAAGTATTTAGTCAGCCACCAATTGTGCAAGTTCTCCCACTTAAAAAGATGAGAGAGGCCTGCAAAGTATTGAGAAACTTTTGTTATTGAGCAAATACTTTTTTTCCACCATAATTTGCAAATAAAATCATTAAAAATCCTACAATGTGATTTTCTGGATTTATTTTTCTCATTTTGTCTGTCATAGTTGACGTGTACCTATGATGAAAAGTACAGCCCTCTCTCATCTTTTTTAAGTGGGAGAACTTGCACAATTGGTGGCTGACTAAATACTTTTTTCCCCCACTGTATATTTTAAAACTTAAAACGGGGTTTGCTTTACACAGACACAGAGACAATAACTGTGATTGTCCAATAGAACCCACCGGGCTCAGCTTGCTTTATGCAGGTTTGCATCGCCTATGCAACTGAAATTTCAAAAGTTGCTCACACAGTCTATGTCATCACTGTTGTATTGATTGGTTAAATCCAGTTTTGGATTGAAAAGGTCCAGGTAGCCTAGCAAGCCCAAGTCTGAATATCAACCAAAATTGACCACGTTCACATTTTTTCTCCTTACACAAATAAATGGGCTTTAAATACATAACGTTACCTCTTCGTTTACCCTGGCCAGAGTGGATGGGGACATTCTGTCATCTGTATGCATCTACAGTTGATCAGACTGAAAAATAGTATTGTTTTCAACCCATACAGTCTATGAGACCAGGCTGATTTTAGCATACATGATAACACATCACTACCAACTGACACAAGCATAAACCTTTTACAGCCTCCTCCTAAACAATAGACGTCTCAGATCTGACCTGCAGCCTGGTCTCATCGACCAGATGTAACATCGTAAATGTAACTCCGGGACACTCCAATTAGTATGATATGTGAAAGGAGGGTGGATGGGTGGGCGTATAACGTCAACTATCTAGCAACCCAAAGGTTGCGTGTTCGAATCTCATGATGGACAATTTTAGCATTTTAGCTAATGAGCAACTTTGCAACTACTTACCTATTTTTAAGCTACTTTTTAGCTACTTTGCAACTACTTTGCATATTAGCTAACCCATAATCATTTTAGCTAACCCTTTAACCTAACTCCTAACCATAACCCTAACACTGACCCTAACCCCTATTCTAGCTAATGTTAGCCAGCTAGCTGTACGTTTTGCAAATTCGTAACATATCTTACGAATTGCAATTCGTAACATATTGTACGAATTGCAATTTGTAACATATCATACGAATTGTAATAAAAAATGTATACATACCATACGAAACGTAACATGTACTAAATGGAGTGTCTATGATTTATGTACAGAATAATACGAAATGCTCTGAGACCAGGTTGGCTAAACAAATACCAGAGGAAAGTGTCTCTTTGCTAGACCTGCATTGTGCCTGGTCCTAAGACCTGTATTTCTGTGAATATGATTGGTCAAAACACACACAGAACCAGCAACAATTTGCGTGAGTTGACAAATCATGAGGCAAGTCAGTCTAATAAACAGTAGCATACTTTCCTATTTTTTATGTTTTCATGTCAATATTTTTATCATAGTAAATCACAATGGATTGAAAACTGCTGGGACAAATGCCAGCTCGCCACACATTTGCCGGCGGCCGTGTAATCTGGTTTGGTTGTAGGGCCGACCAGTAATCTTGTTTGGTTGTACCAGTAATCTTGTTTGGTTGTTGGGCTTACCAGTAATCTTGTTTGGTTGTAGGTCCTACCAGTAATCTTGTTTGGTTGTAGGTCCTACCAGTAATCTTGTTTGGTTGTAGGGCCGACCAGTAATCTTGTTAGGTTGTAGGTCCTACCAGTAATCTTGTTTGGTTGTAGAGCCTACCAGTAATCTTGTTTGGTTGTACCAGTAATCTTGTTTGGTTGTAGGGCCTATCAGTAATCTTGTTTGGTTGTACCAGTAATCTTGTTTGGTTGTAGGGCCTACCAGTAATCTTGTTTGGTTGTAGGGCCTACCAGTAATCTTGTTTGGTTGTAGGGCCTACCAGTAATCTTGTTTGGTTGTAGGGCATACCAGTAATCTTGTGTGGTTGTACCAGTAATCTTGTTTGGTTGTAGGTCCTACCAGTAATCTTGTTTTTTTGTAGGGCCTACCAGTAATCTTGTTTGGTTGTACCAGTAATCTTGTTTGGTTGTAGGGCCTACCAGTAATCTTGTTTGGTTGTACCAGTAATCTTGTTTGGTTATAGGGCCTACCAGTAATCTTGTTTGGTTGTAGGGCCTACCAGTAATCTTGTTTGGTTGTAGGGCCTACCAGTAATCTTGTTTGGTTGTAGGGCCTACCAGTAATCTTGTTTGGTTGTAGGGCCTACCAGTAATCTTGTTTGGTTGTAGGGCCTACCAGTAATCTTGTTTGGTTGTCTGTCGTTTCAGAGTTACACAGCTCAGTGTGTCCTCATCCAGCTAACATTGATAGAGCTCTGCTTTTTATAATGTGAAAATTACTAAACATTTCACTGTCTTTGATCCGTTTCCCTGTCAGTAACATAATGTTGTGTAGGAGGATAAGAGGGCAGAAACGAGGTGTTAGTCATAAAAAAGTGTTTTATTGCTCTAACCATTAGGCGACCTGCCGCCCTACATCAGATAGACAGGGCTCTTCATTTCAGCATCCATACAGTCAACATTACTCTGTTTGTTTGAGATGGAGACTGATTCATGTTTTCAATGCATGTGTATCACATACTGCTTACTGGAAAAAGGTAGACTGCTTACTGTAACGTGCGTGCTGATAATTTGCATAAGGAACTTTATTTACCAATACATGCCATTAGAGGATAATTTTTTTGAATCAGTGTCAGGCTGTGTAATACGAGATCCTCCGAAAAGTTTGGTCTGACAGTAGACTAAATCTCAATTAACTCGAAAGTCGTATCACTGATACCTTGCTGAGTAATTAATTACACTTGAGGTAAAATGGCTATTACTTTTTCTGCAACCATTTCATGAGTTGTAACTAGATAGTGCACATTATAGTAAAAATAAAACTCTAAATATCCTATTTGACATACAGGATGTATAACTGTGCTTCTACCGCCATCTCGTGGCTGAATGCTATTGGAGCAGTCTTTAAAAGGACTACGCCTTGCATACGTCATACAATAATACGGAAGCAGAGCGGTGGACAAAGAATACCGTACACACGCGGGTAATATTGACAGAATCCTACAAGAAAAGTATGTAAAAACAGCATTTTATTTATGTTACTTACCAAGCTATAAACTACACGTCAGCATTTTAACCTTGTGTATTCAATATTTGATTATGTTAGTGAACAAGATTTTGTACAGTAGTACACTGTTTCTTGTTTCATTGTCAGACTGTCAACTCAACCGCAAATAAAAGGGGAAACCTTTAGCATGTGTCAAGTGATGGCCCAAGCCAGGAAGTCAAATTGACTGACCCACTTTATAAATAAAGTGATAAAGACAGCCCAATGTTTGAGTTGGCTAGTATAATTACAAAATAACAACATACAAATTGATTGTAATGCTTTCTAGTAATATATTGTTCTCCATTCAGGTCAATGCCAGTGTGACCATGGATGGGTACTCGGTCCATAAAGTAATAGGTGAAGGGTCCTTTGGTCGGGCACTGCTGGTCCAATCCAGAACCAACCATGAGAAATATGTCATGAAAGAGATCCTACTCCCAAAGGTAGGTTATTATTACCATAGAATGGAATACAGTAAACAAGTAACTGCCAAAATAAAGGAAACACCAACATAAAGTGTCTAATAGTGTGTTGGTTGGGCCACCACGAGCCAGAACAGCTTCAATGCACCTTGGCGTTGATTCTACAAGTGTCTGGAACTCTATTGGAGGGATGAGACACCATTCTTCCGTGAGAAATTCCATCATTTGGTGTTTTGTTGATGGTGGTGGAAAACACTGTCTCAGGCGCCGCTCCAGAATCCAGAAGTGTTCAATTGGGTTGAGATCTGGTGACTGAGATGGTCATATGGTTTACATCGTTTTCATGCTCATCAAACCATTCAGTGGATGGGGGCATTGTTACAGGTTTTGGTTTTTCCATTTATGTTAGCACGTAGGCCGCATCGATTGGTGTCACCTCGTTAGTCAGTATGTGTTACACCCGTGCTGGTTGCGATCTCGTTAGTGGGAAGGTGTTTCACCTGTGCTGGCCCAGGTGATATTTAAGAGTGGCTGGCCCAGGTGATATTTAAGAGTGGCTGGCCCAGGTGATATTTAAGAGTGGCTGGCCCAGGTGATATTTAAGAGTGGCTGGCCCAGGTGATATTTAAGAGTGGCTAGCCCAGGTGATATTTAAGAGTGGCTGGCCCAGGTGATATTTAAGAGTGGCTGGCCCAGGTGATATTTAAGAGTGGCTGGCCCAGGTGATATTTAAGAGTGGCTGGCCCAGTGCCCCGGTTGTCTTGATAGATGTGGAGCGTTAACACCTTTAGTTGTCTCTCCCTATTTGACTTCTAGAAAAACATGTTTTGATCTGATCTTTCCTGTTTTCATTTTGCTCCACTTTGTGGTTTGCGTCCTGTCTTTCTTGTCTTTGCCTCTTCTTGGGCAGATTTAGTGGGTCTCATGGTGGTCGTCTTTTAGGTCCCAGTTGTTGTTGCTAGTCAACTTTCAGTGGACACCCCCCCCATGAGCGTCTTTCAGAACCCCTCCTAAAACCCCACGTTTCGTTTTGGTTGTCAGTGACTCTTTACATTTTACATTTTTACATTTTAGTCATTTAGCAGACGCTCTTATCCAGAGCGACTTACAGGAGCAATTAGGGTTAAGTGCCTTGCTCAAGGGCACATCGACAGATTTTTCACCTAGTCGGCTCGGGGATTAGAACCAGCGACCTTTCGGTTACTGTCACTACGCTCTTAACCACTAAGCTACCTGCCGCCCATCTTTGTTAGTTCCCCCTTCTGTTTGAGTGACATTTTTGGTTTTCTAGCAGGGGAACGTAACAGCGTGGCCTGCCCAGTATTTTGATACATTACCCTAAACATTGTTAATTTCTTAACTCAGGAACCACACCTGTGTGGTAGGGAAGCAGACCAGACTCATTGGTCCTTTAAAAACCTGTATGTAAAATATTGTGTGCTAAAGCTTGGAAAATCAATAAATGTTTGTTTCCAACATTAGGGCTGATTTCCGTAAGTTAAATCCGCTTCGTGTTTCGTATCCTTGCCAGGATACTAACGAGTATCGCGATACTGCCCTATTGTGTGGAACCACCAGCTTTCAATATAATGAGTCATTTACTCAATTGTTTCCATTATTTGGCACTTACCTGTATATCTAGCAATATCAATTTGCATGTTTTCCTTTTGGCGTTAACCTACACTACCAGTCAAAAGTTTGGACACACCTACTCATTCAAGGGTTTTTCTTTATATAAAAAAATGTTTACATTGTAGAATAATAGTGAAGACATCAAAACTATGAAATAACACGTATGGAATCATGTAGTAACCAAAAAAGTGTTAAACAAATCAAAATATATTTTATAGTTGAGATTCTTCAAATAGCCACCCTTTGCCTTGATGACAGCTTTGCACACTCTTGGCATTCTCTCAACCAGCTTCATGAGGTAGTCACCTGGAATGCATTTCAATTAACAGGTGTGCCTTGTTAAAAGTTAATTTGTGGAATTTCTTTCCTTAATGCGTTTGAGCCAATCAGTTGTGTTGTGACAGAAGATAGACTTATTTGGTAAAAGACAAAGTCCATATTATGGCAAGAACAGCTCAAATAAGCAAAGAGAAACGACAGTCCATCATTACTTTCAGAAATGAAGGTTAGTCAATACGGAACATTTCAAGAACTTTGAAAGTTTCTTCAAGTGCAGTTGCAAAAACCATCAAGCGCTATGATGAAACTGTCTCTCATGAGGACTGCCACAGGAAAGGAAGACCCAGAGTTACCTCTGCTGCAGAGGATAAGTTCATTACAGTTACCAGCCTCAGAAATTGCAGCCCAAATAAATGCTTCACAGAGTTCAAGTAACAGACACATCTCAACATCAACTGTTCGGTGGAGACTGTGTGAATCAGGCCTTCATGGTAGAATTGCTGCAAAGAAACCACTACTAAAGGACACCAATAAGAAGAAGAGACTTGCTTGGGCCAAAACACAAGCAATGGACATTAGACCGGTGGAAATGTGTCCATTGGTCTGGAGTCCAAATTTGAGATTTTTGGTTCCAACCGCTGTGTCCTTGTGAGACGCGGTGTAGGTGAACGGATGATCTCTGCATGTGTAGTTCTCACCATAAAGCATGGAGGAGGAGGTATTATGGTGTGGGGGGTGCTTTGCTGGTGACATTGTCTGTGATTTATTTAGATTTCAAGGCACACTTAACCAGCATGGCTACCACAGCATTCTGCAGCGATACGCCATCCCATCTGGTTTGGGCTTAGTGGGACTATCATTTGTTTTTCAACAGGACAATGACCCAACACACCTCCAGGCTGTGTAAGGGCTATTTTACCAAGAAGGAGAGTGATGGAATGCTGCATCAGATGACCTGGCCTCCACAATCCCCCGACCTCAACCCAATTGAGATGGTTTGGGATGAGTCGGACGGCAGAGTGAAGGAAAAGCAGCCAGCAAGTGCTCAGCATATGTGGGAACTCCTTCAGGACTGTTGGAAAAGCATTCCAGGTGAAGCTGGTTGAGAGAATGCCAAGAGTGTGCAAAGCTGTCATCAAGGCAAAGGGTGGCTATTTGAAGAACCTCAAATATAAAATGTATTTTGATTTGTTTAACACTGTTTTGGTTACTACATGATTCCATATGTGTTATTTCATAGTTTTGATGTCTTCACTATTATTCTACAATGTAAAAAATTAAGAAAAACCCTAATCAAATCAAATCAAATTGTACTGGTCACATGCGCCGAATACAACAGGTGCAGACATTACAGTGAAATGCTTACTTACAGCCCTTAACCAACAGTGCATTTATTTTTAACCAAAAAAGTAAAAATAAAACAACAAAAAAAGTGTTGAGAAAAAAAAGAGCAGAAGTAAAATAAAATAACAGTAGGGAGGCTATATATACAGGGGGGTACCGGTGCAGAGTCAATGTGCGGGGGCACCGGCTAGTTGAGGTAGTTGAAGTAATATGTACATGTGGGTAGAGTTAAAGTGACTATGCATAAATAATTAACAGAGTAGCAGCAGCGTAAAAGGATGGGGTGGGGGGGCAGTGCAAAATAGTCTGGGTAGCCATGATTAGCTGTTCAGGAGTCTTATGGCTTGGGGGTAGAAGCTGTTGAGAAGTCTTTTGGACCTAGACTTGGCACTCCGGTACCGCTTGCCGTGCGGTAGCAGAGAGAACATTCTATGACTAGGGTGGCTGGAGTCTTTGATCATTTTCAGGGCCTTCCTCTGACACCGCCTGGTATATAGGTCCTGGATGGCAGGAAGCTTGGCCCCAGTGATGTACTGGGCCGTACGCACTACCCTCTGTAGTGCCTTGCGGTCGGAGGCCAAGCAGTTGCCATACCAGGCGGTGATGCAACCAGTCAGGATGCTCTCGATGGTACAGCTGTAGAATTCTTTGAGGATCTGAGGACCCATGCCAAATCTTTTCAGTCTCCTGAGGGGGAATAGGCTTTGTCGTGCCCTCTTCACGAATGAGTAGGCGTGTCCAAACTTTTGACTGGTACTGTATATGTATGCATTTATCATAATAACTACCTCTGGTCCAGAGGCGTCTACATGGCTTCTTAAGATTCTAGACCAGAGCTAAGTAATAACTGTCTTTTTCAGATGCAATCCAAGATGGAGAACACCAGAAGAGAAGCTGTACTCCTGTCCAGGATGAAACATCCCAGCATAGTGGCCTTCAGGGACTCTTTTGAAGGTAGACAGTTTCACTGTGGCTATCTTGATTGTGAAATGAAACTGCTTTGATACTGCCATCCTTGTAAGATTATGCAATCCCACTGGGCAAAAACTGGTTGAATCAACGTTGTTTCCACATCATTTCAACAACAAAATTCAATGAGATGACGTTGAATCAACATGGAAAACTGATTTTAGATTTGAAAAGTCATCAGTAAAGGCATTTTATCTTTTTTTTCACCCCACTTTTAACCTAAATCCAATGACATGGTGACATTTTTTTTGTTGATTTCATGTTGAATTCACATTAGTTGACAACTCAACCAAAATGTAAATCAAAACTAGACGTTGAACTTGACGTCTGTGCCCAGTGGGATGCTTTTTGTTCTGCTTATGTATGTAATTGGGTATGTATTGCTTATGAATGTGATATGAAGTCTGTGGTATGTGAAGTAGGGCTGGTGTCTTGTCTCCTGTAGGTGACGGCCACCTGTACATAGTAATGGAGTTCTGTGGCGGGGGGGACCTGCTCCAAAGGATACAGCAACAGAAAAACACACTGTTCTCACAGGACACAGTATGACACCTTCATTCATAAATGAATTTGGTTAATTCGCTAACTCGGCCAAATGCAAATCTCAAATAGTAGACCAGTATATGGTTTCCCACTGTTTTGAAAACACTAACTGGTAGGGATGTGACGAACGTGGAATTTTGGATGACTGTAATTGGCCAGCCAAATGACGAGGTCTCGGTAAAACCATTCGAATATCATTTAAAAAATAATATATATATATATATATATATATATACACACAGTTGAAGTCGGAAGTTTACATACACCTTAGCCAAATACATTTCAATTTTAATATTTTTGTAATATTTTTTAATATTTTGTTTATTATTAATTGTATTTATTTTCATTTATTTTATTTTGGGGGGGGGGGGGAATCTTAGTAAAAATTCCGTGTCTTAGGTTAGTTAGGATCACCACTTTTATTTTAAGAATGTGAAATGTTCTAATAATAGTAGAGAGAATGATTTATTTCAGCTTGTATTTATTTCATCACATTCCCAGTGGGTCAGAAGTTTACATACACTCAATTAGTATTTGGTAGCATTGCCTTTAAAATGTTTAGCTTGGGTCAAACGTTTCGGATAGCCTTCCACAAGCTTCCCACAATAAGTTGGGTGATTTTTGGCCCATTCCTCCTGACAGAGCTGGTGTAACTGAGTCAGGTTTGTAGGCCTCCTTGCTCGCACACGCTTTTTCAGTTCTGCCCACAAATGTTCTATTGGATTGAGGTCAGGGCTTTGTGATGGCCACTCCAATACCTTGACTTTGTTGTCTTTAAGCCATTTTGCCACAACTTTGGAAGTATGCTTGGGGTCATTGTCCATTTGGAAGACCTATTTGCGACCAAGCTTTAACTTCCTGACTGATGTCTTCAAATGTTGCTTCAATATATCCACATAATTGTCCTTCCTCATGATGCCATCTATTTTGTGAAGTGTACCAGTCCCTCCTGCAGCAAAGCACCCCCACAGCATGATGCTGCCACCCCCGTGCTTCACGGTTGGGATGGTGTTCTTCAGCTTGCAAGCGTTCCCCTTTTTCCTCCAAACATAACGATGGTCATTATGGCCAAACAGTTCTATTTTTGTTTCATCAGATCAGAGGACATTTCTCCAAAAAGTATGATCTTTGTCCCCATGTGCAGTTGCAAACCATAGTCTGGCTTATTTATGGCGGTTTTGGAGCAGTGGCTTCTTCCTTGCTGAGCGGCCTTTCAGGTTATGTCGATATAGGACTTGTTTTACTGTGAATATAGATACTTTTGTACCTGTTTCCTCCAGCATCTTCACAAGGTCCTTTGCTGCTGTTCTGGGATTGATTTGCACTTTTGGCACAAAAGTACGTTAATCTCTAGGAGACAGAACGCGTCTCCTTCCTGAGCGGTATGACGGCTGCGTGGTCCCATGGTGTTTATACTTGCGTTCTGTTGTTTGTACTGATGAACGTGGTACCTTCAGGCGTTTGGAAATTGCTCACAAGGATGAACCAGACTTGTGGAGGTCTACAATTTCTTTTCTGAGGTCTTGGCTGATTTCTTTAGATTTTCCCATGATTTCAAGCAAAGAGGCACTGAGTTTGAAGGTAGGCCTTGAAATACATCCACAGGTACACCTCCAATTGACTCAAATGATGTCAATTAGCCTATCAGAAGCTTCTAAAGCCATGACATCATTTTCTGGAATTTTCCAAGCTGTTTAAAGGCACAGTCAACTTAGTGTATGTAAACTTCTGACCCACTGGAATTGTGATACAGTGAATTATAAGTGAAATAATCTGTCTGTAAACAAAAAATACTTGTCATGCACAAAGTAGATGTCCTAACCGACTTGCCAAAACTGTAGTTTGTTAACAAGACATTTGTGGAGTGGTTGAAAAACGAGTTTTAATGACTCCAACCTAAGTGTATGTAAACTTCCGACTTCAACTGTATATAAAAAAATAAAGCAAAACCTGGAATGAGTACTACCAGTGAAAAGTTTGGACACACCTACTCATTCCAGGGTTTTTCTTTATTTTTACTATTTTCTACATTGTAGAATAATAGTGAAGACATCAAAACTATGAAATAATACATATGGAATCATGTAGTAACCAAAAAACTGTTAAACAAATCAAAATATATTTTATATTTGAGATTCCTTGATGACAGCTTTGCACACTCTTGGCATATTCATATATTCATTGCGGCGATTCTGTTGAAAACATTTCTTAAACGGACCTACCTGAATTTGTCTAATAGAAAATGGTTTGTTTGGACGAGTGATTACAACCTAGGTCTGCTAGATGCAAGCGAGAGTGTGCAAAGCGGTATTGAATGTGTCACTGTCACCTTGATTACTCCAATTTGCCTCTCAACCTGTGTGCACCTATGTTATAAACTTTAATTCATAGGCTAGGTTGTAGCAACCTCATGATGAGTACAGGGTAAATTCTAGTATCTAAACCTATCGACGCTACATTGATCTGGGTGAATGGAATATGAATGACAGTCATCCAATATGCTGGAATAGAAATAAGGCCTTGCTCGTATAATAAAAATTGGCCTCCCCTAATTTTAAATGTATCGCATCACAATACCAGGCAGCAGAGTGATGATGCTGTTTGTATGTGGCTGCTATGAAAGTGAACTGTGTGTGCAGTTGATAAGGGGTATATTCATTTGTTTGCTTTGTTTCAACAAAGTTTCATCACGTTGTCAAGAGTCCATGTTTTTTTTAGTTTTACTTTGCTCTTTATGACTTTTATTTTATTTACACAGTTATACAGTAATTGTGCCTGCCCTAACTGGTTTATTCTCTGGAGAAAGGATCCCACTCGGACTGTATTTCATGTCTCTGTGTTACTAGATTCTGAAGTGGTTTGCTCAGATGTGTTCTGGTACAAAGCACATCCATGACAAACGTGTCTTACACAGGGATCTCAAGTCCAAGGTAAGTTCCAAAGTTTACGTTTTTTTCCATAGCTACGTTTCAGATTGGCAACATATTTCCTTTTTAAGGTCACGTTGTGAGCTGCAGATATTACGTTTATCGTCCTGTGGCTGCCATCTTTTGACATTTTTCACCTACATTTCTCTTGAATGAAGAATGGGCCTAAAAAAATACTTTCTAAAGAATTTATATTGGAACAGTATATTCCAAATCCTATTATAACAATTGGATGACTTTGGGTGTTTCAGTAAAGCAACAATTTGCCTTCATTAGTCTACTTTATTACAATGTTAGTTTTATGTCACTTCTCATGTCAAGTGTAATTGCGCCATTTTGTATTTACCCAAGTTCTCTCTCAACTCCGGGACCACCCGCAAGCAATATGTTTTTGTTGTTGTTGGCCTGATGCAGGATTCTAGAGAGACTCTTAGACTGAAACATTCACACCTCCATTCATTTACAAAAGGGAAGTCCAATAGCTCGGCTAGGTGTGAAAAATCCCCCTTTTTGTGCGCCACAGTTTAGACATTTACATTGACATTTTAGTCATTTAGCAGACGCTCTTATCCAGAGCGACTTACAGGAGCAATTAGGGTTAAGTGCCTTGCTCAAGAGCACATCGACAGATTTTTCACCTAGTCGGCTCGGGGATTAGAACCAGCGACCTTTCGGTTACTGGCACAACGCTCTTAACCACTAAGCTACCTGCCGACCCTAGACTGTGATAGATCAGCGTTCTGACTACCCCTTGTGACAGTGGGGTGCAATGACAGAATTACGCAGTTTACCACAAACTGTTGCGGCATAAGCTTGGATGTTTTGAGGAACCACTGTATATATTGTAAGCCTATATCTGAAAAGAATTTCAGCTCTTCCACGTAGTCTCCCGAGTGACGCAGTGGTCTAAGGCACTGCATTGCAGTGCTAGCTGTGCCACTACAGATCCTGGTTCGTATCCAGGCTCTGTCGTAGCCGGCCGCGACCGGGAGACCCCATGGGGCGGCGCACAATTGGCCCAGCGTCGTCCAGGGTAGGGGAGGGAATGGCCGGCAGGGATGTAGCTCAGTTGGTAGGGCATGGCATTTGCAACGCCAGGGTTGTGGGTTCGATTCCCACGGGGGGGGCCAGTATGAAAAATGTATGCACTCACTAACTGTAAGTCGCTCTGGATAAGAGCGTCTGCTAAATGACTAAAATGTAAATTGAATGTGTTTCACCTCTAAATCAGGTCAGTGACAGAAGGAAACAGGAAGTCATGTAGTTTTACTGTACATTTATTTTCATCACTTCCTTCTCGTTTGTGTTCAGAATATCTTCCTGACAGAAAATGGGACAGTGAAGCTGGGTGACTTTGGCTCAGCCTGTGTTCTAAACAGGTACCAGAAGATGCTTTGCCATTTAATACTTTTCAGAAAATATCACTTTTCTAATACTGTTTCTATATTACTATAAGTATACACGGAGTATACAAAACATTAAGAACACCTTCCTAATACCAGGTGTCGAAAGCGTTCCACAGGGATGCTGGCCCATGTTGACTCAAATGCTTCTCAGAGTTGTGTCAAGTTGGCTGGATGTCCTTTGGGTGGTGGACCGTTCTTGATACACACGGGAAACGGTTGAGCATGAAAAACCCAGCAGCGTTGCAGTTCTTGACACCAAACCGGTACGCCTACCACCATACCCCGTTCAAAGGCACTTCAATCTTTTGTCTTGCCCATTCACCCTCTGAATGGCACACATGCACAATCCATGTCTCAATTAAAACACTGATTGTAGATGAAGGGGAGGAGACGGGTTAAAGTGGATTTAACAAATGACATCAATACGGGATCGTAGCTTTCACCCGGTCAGTCTACGTCGCGGAAAGAGCAGGTGTTCTTAATGTTTTGTACACTCAGTGTATGGAGTCATTTTAGATAGTATTTATCATTTACTTTAATGATGTCCTGTTATTCTCTGTCACAGTGCGAAGGCCTTTGCTCAAACCTACGTTGGAACTCCGTACTACGTTTCCCCTGAGATCTGGGACAGTAAGCCATACAATAATAAGAGGTAGTATCATAATACCCTGTACTATGACATCCGAAAATCTATTGATCAATGATTAGATTTCTGATTAACCCTACAATCCACTGTATAGAAATAATATATTTAACTTTAAACTTAGCCAAGGGAGGCGTGGGATGTGTGATATCTAACTCTGTCAGTGTTATAGCGACGTGTGATATCTAACTCTGTCAGTGTTCCAGTGACGTGTGATATCTAACTCTGTCAGTGTTCCAGTGACGTGTGATATCTAACTCTGTCAGTGTTCCAGTGACGTGTGATATCTAACTCTGTCAGTGTTCCAGTGACGTGTGATATCTAACTCTGTCAGTGTTCCAGTGACGTGTGATATCTAACTCTGTCAGTGTTCCAGTGACGTGTGATATCTAACTCTGTCAGTGTTATAGCGACGTGTGATATCTAACTCTGTCAGTGTTCCAGTGACGTGTGATATCTAACTCTGTCAGTGTTCCAGTGACGTGTGATATCTAACTCTGTCAGTGTTACAGTGACGTGTGATATCTAACTCTGTCAGTGTTCCAGTGACGTGTGATATCTAACTCTGTCAGTGTTCCAGTGACATGTGATATCTAATTATGTCAGTGTTCCAGCAACGTGTGATATCTAACTCTGTCAGTGTTATAGCGACGTGTGATATCTAACTCTGTCAGTGTTCCAGTGACGTGTGATATCTAACTCTGTCAGTGTTCCAGTGACATGTGATATCTAATTATGTCAGTGTTCCAGCAACGTGTGATATCTAACTCTGTCAGTGTTATAGCGACGTGTGATATCTAACTCTGTCAGTGTTCCAGTGACGTGTGATATCTAACTCTGTCAGTGTTCCAGTGACGTGTGGTGCCATGTAATTTCTCGTCTGTGTGAATATATTTGTGTGTGTTCCAGCGACGTGTGGTCTCTCGGCTGTGTCCTCTACGAGCTCTGCACCCTGCGACACCCGGTACACTCACACACACACACACACACACACACACACACACACACACACACACACACACACACACACACACACACACTCTCTCTCTCACTCTGGAGCCGTAGCCTGTGGCAGTTGTCTGGAGCTGTAGCCTGTAGCAGTCATTTTGGAGCTGTGGCCTGTAGCAGTCTGGAGCTGTAGCCTGTGGCAGTCAGTCTGGAGCCGTAGCCTGTGGCAGTCAGTCTGGAGCCGTAGCCTGTGGCAGTCAGTCTGGAGCGGTGGCCTGTAGCAGTCTGTCTTTCTGGAGCTGTAGCCTTTGTCAGTCTGGAGCCGTAGCCTGTGGCAGTCTGTCTGGAGCTGTAGCCTGTAGCAGTCAGTCTGGAGCCATAGCCTGTGGCAGTCTGTCTGGAGCTGTAGCCTGTAACAGTCAGTCTGGAGCCGTAGCCTGTAGCAGTCTGTCTTTCTGGAGCTGTAGCCTTTGTCAGTCTGGAGCCGTAGCCTGTGGCAGTCAGTCTGGAGCCGTAGCCTGTAGCAGTCAGTCTGGAGCCATAGCCTGTGGCAGTCAGTCTGGAGGTGTAGCCTGTACCAGTCTGGAGGTGTAGCCTGTACCAGTCTGGAGGTGTAGCCTGTGGCAGTCTGTTTGGGGGTGTAGCCTGTACCAGTCTGGAGCCGTAGCCTGTACCAGTCTGGAGGTGTAGCCTGTACCAGTCTGGAGCCGTAGCCTGTACCAGTCTGGAGCCGTAGCCTGTAGCAGTCAGTCTGGAGCCGTAGCCTGTACCAGTCTGGAGGTGTAGCCTGTACCAGTCTGGAGCCGTAGCCTGTAGCAGTCAGTCTGGAGCCGTAGCCTGTACCAGTCTGGGGGTGTAGCCTGTACCAGTCTGGAGCCGTAGCCTGTACCAGTCTGGGGGTGTAGCCTGTACCAGTCTGGAGGTGTAGCCTGTACCAGTCTGTCAGTTTGGTTTGTGTTTCCAGGGATCCTCCTAAACCTCTGTTCTCCCTCCCTCCCTCCCCGTCTCAGTTCCAGGCTCCTAGTTGGAAGAGTCTGATCATGAAGGTGTGTCGTGGTTCCTACCCTCCTCTACCACAACACCTGCCTTATGAGCTGCACTACCTGGTCAAACACATGTTCAAGACCAACCCCAAAGACCGTCCGTCCCTCCACACCATCCTCACGTCTCACCGCGTAGCCAGACTCCTGCGCAGACACCTGCCCAACAAGGTAAAAGCCCTGTTCAGAACAAGCCCCCTACCCCCTAGACACCATCCCCTACCAACAAGGTACAAGCCCTGTTCGGAACAAGGCCCCTACCCCCTAGACACCATCCCCTACCAACAAGGTACAAGCCCTGTTCGGAACAAGGCCCCTACCCCCTAGACACCATCCCCTACCAACAAGGTACAAGCCCTGTTCAGAACAAGCCCCCTACCCCCTAGACACCATCCCCTACCAACAAGGTACTAGATAAGCTCTGTTCAGAACAAGGCCCCTACCCCCTAGACACCATCCCCACCATCCCCTACCAACAAGGTACTAGATAAGCTCTGTTCAGAACAAGGCCCCTACCCCCTAGACACCATCCCCTACCAGAGCATGTGAGCGGTCGGAAATCCCCCTCATCACTCGTGGAGCGGCGCTTCGCTCCATTCATTAGAATCACCACTTAACCAACACCCATCTATATTTGGTTTTGAAGTATTGAAACCAAACCATATGATTTGAATGAAAAGTATTTTTAAAAAACATGAAAAGGTGATTGTAAGAAGAGCTCATTATTTCAAATAGGCTACGTGTCATATTAAACAGCATATAAACACTGGGCGGCAGGTAGCTCAGTGGGTAAGAGCGTTGTGCCAGTAACCGAAAGGTCGCTGGTTCTAATCTCCGAGCCGACTAGGTGAAAAATCTGTCGACGTGCCCTTGAGCAAGGCACTTAACCCTAATTGCTCCTGTAAGTCGCTCTGGATAAGAGCGTCTGCTAAATGACTAAAATGTAAATAGGTCAGGAGCCAGACAAGGAGCCTAACAAGCAACGAAAATTCATTATTTAGGCTGTATTATTTCAATTATTTTCAAGGCTATAGCCTACAAAGAAATACATTGTGAAGCATTTTGCGAGAGCGACACACTAGGCTGGTAGGGACGTTAAGCGCTCAGCATTTTTAAACAACATTTCATTGTATTAAATCATTATAGATTTGTATTGAATCTATACATTTCACATACAGGCTGTGACTTAAATTAAAACGGAAAATACCTTTTATTAGGCTCAGTGCCTTTTTGAATTCATTTTTAGAAACACCAGTTTGGTCGCAGTGCTAGCTGTGCCACTAGAGATCCTGGTTCGAGTCCAGGCTCTGTCGCAGCCGGCCGCGACCGGGAGACCCATGGGGCGGCGCACAATTGGTCCAGCGTCGTCCACGGTAGGGGAGGGTTTGGCCGGCAGGGATGTGGGTTCGTTTCCCACGGGGGGCCAGTATAAAAAAAAAAAAAAAAAAAACATGTATGCCCTCACTAACTGTAAGTCGCTCTGGATAAGAGCGTCTGCTAAATGACTAAAATGTAAATGTGAATGTCAGTCTTCAGGCTCATGCGATGGTGCCTGGAGAGCCGGCCAGCAGCGGAGGATATCCTCTCTGCGCTTGCAGGGCCACTGGGGCTAAACACCCTTTTAGCTGCTCTTGCCAGGCAGAAATGCAGTTGTTTTTTATTTTTATTATAGATCAGCTTTAATATTTCAGGTAGATTGTAGCTTCCATCAATGTAATCGTCTGCATAATTTCCAATCCCCCGTAGATGTAAATAGATAGATACACTACCGTTCAAAAGTTTGGGGTCACTTAGAAATGTCCTTGTTTTCGAAAGAAAAGCAAAAAAACATGTTGTCCATTTTTTAAATAACATCAAATTGATCAGAAATACAGTGTAGACATTGTTAATGTTGTAAATGGCTATTGTAGCTGGAAACGGCTGATTTTTTAATAGAATATCTACATAGGCGTACAGAGGCCCATTTATCAGCAACCATCAGTCCTGTGTTCCAATGGCACGTTGTGTTTGCTAATCCAAGTTTGTCATTTTAAAAGGCTAATTGATCATTAGAAAACCCTTTTGCAATTATGTTAGCACAGCTGAAAACTGTTGTGCTGATTTAAAGAAGCAATAAAACTGGCCTTCTTGAGACTAGTTGAGTATCTGGAGCATCAGCAATTGTCGGTTCGATTACAGGATCAAAAATGGGCAGAAACAAATAACTCTCTTCTGAAACTCGTCAGTCTATTCTTGTTCTCAGAAATGAAGGCTATTCCATGCGAGAAATTGCCAAGAAACTGAAGATCTCGTACAACGCTGTGTACTACTATTCACAGAACAGCGCAAACTGTCTCTAACCAGAATAGAAAGAGGAGTGGGAGGCCCCGGTGCACAACTGAGCAAGAGGACAAATTCATTACAGTGTCTAGTCTGAGAAACAGATGCCTCACAGGTCCTCAACTGGCAGCTTCATTAAACAGTACCCGCAAAACACCAGTCTCAACGTCAACAGTGAAGAGGCGGCTCCGGGATGCTGACGACCTAGGCAGAGTTGCAAAGAAAAAGCCATATCTCAGACTGCCCATCTTAATCTTTTATTTTCATTGGTCAGTCTGAGATATGGCTACTCTGCGTTTTTGCCTTATAATATGAAATTACAGTAGGCTACCGATAGCCTTTATCGATTACCCTTTTTCCTACGTAATGGAATGTGGCCCCTTGAAAGCGCCTCGGCTATGGCATGTTTTGTTTTTCTGTCTGTTAGGGTAGGCTACACTACGGAATTTTTTTAATGCCGACACGAAACGTTCTCTGGAGATATGAACGTGCATTTTACTTGTCTGTAAAGGCATGAGGTTTCTGAAGCGGCACAAATTCTCAGGCGACCAGAACTGTCAATCAAATCATCTTGAGCTGCTGCGCGCAGCTTAATCTCTCCAAAAAAAAAAAAAAGTACTTTAAAGTTTAGTTAAATACCGTGACTTACCAAGACATTTAGTAGAAATAAAACGCATCTAGCTTCCATACCATAAAAGAACACAGCAGCACATCAATCAGTAACATGTATTGTTGTCAGGGAAACAATACAGAACATTTTTATGCCGGAGCAGAATTCTACTGTCACTTTTTTTTAGTTGTGGGGGGTGCGCAACTCAATACTATGAAGGTGTTCCTAATGTTTTGTACACTCAGTGTACATGGCTATCCTCGTGGTGACACTACCGTGCCTTCTAGTGTGTACACAGGTGAAATCTTTTTGAAGTGAACCCATGCTCATCTATCAAACTGACATGTTGTGATCAAATGTAGAATTTAACAATTTAAATCCAAAACTTCGGCGCCACGTGTTAGAGGGTTGTCTGTGTGTGGGCGCTCTTGTGGGCGCTCTTGTGGGCGTGTGTGTGTGTGTGTGTGTGTGTGTGTGTGTGTGTGTGTGTGTGTGTGTGTGTGTGTGGTGTGTGTGTGTGTGTGTGTGTGAGAGTGTGAGTGTGAGTGTGAGTGTGAGTGTGAGTGTGAGTGTGAGTGTGAGTGTGAGTGTGACTGTGACTGTGACTGTGACTGTGACTGTGACTGTGACTGTGACTGTGTGTGGTAGCTGGTGGTACGTTTCTGATGCAGCACGTTGCTTTCGGGATCTGATCCGTAGGAGTTGGAGAGGAGAACCGGGAGGTGGAGGAGAGAGGAGGGGGAGAAGGTAGCCTCACTCCTGGGGCAGAAGACCCTCATGACAGCCTCTACCTTGGAGGGTAAGCAGGCTAGGAAGATGTTCTTCATCTCATGGTGAGATTGAACTGCAGGGTCCTAGTGTGAAGACCAGCAGGTTGAGTAGGACATTTTAAACATCATTTATCATCAATTTACAACCTGTTATTCGTAAAACTTTATTTTACGGTGTGTGTATATAGATAAACTACTACGTATTTACTAATAAATGACACGGTAGAGCGGTAATAACACAGTCATAACCTATGGATTATTGTGTTTCTTTTAGATTAATTTGAATGAAACTAAACTGGTCCTTTTTAAGGTCCCTCACAGTGAAAGTGCCCTGGTGTGAAAAACTGTATTTTAAAAAAAAAAATTTATAAGGAAGTTGAACGTGTTTGATGATGTCTTCATACAGGTCTGGAGTCCTGTGTGGCCCCTGCTGAGGCCCCTGCTGAGAGCGGCAGCAGTGGAGAGCAGCGTGGCCCTCGTAGACAGTGGGCCCCGTGCCCATCAGACACAGCTCTACTGCTGTTGCCTAACACTGACCTCCTCTCCTCTGGGAGTCTGGCAACCGCAGGCCAGACACATTCAGGTATGCAGGTACTCTCACTAAGGCAGGCCAGACACACCCCTTATCAGGTACTGAAACAGGCCAGACACATTCAGGTATGAAGGTACTCTCACCAAGGCAGGCCAGACACACCCCTTATCAGGTACTGAAACAGGCCAGACACACCCCTTCTGACCCCTAGATAGGTACTCTCACTGAAACATTATAGAAAGTAACGTTGTCGTCATTCAAACATCACAGGATATCCAGGTACACTAAAACAAAGTAGAATGAACAACGCACAGTATATATTTTTGCAATAAACATTTATTGAGAAGTGATGTTTTGAGTCACTAAAGCATCCACTCCACAAACATTTTGAGTCCTACAATCTGCCCTCAGATTTCACCATTCATTCATGTTAAGAGGATTCAATAAAATGTATTAAAAACTAATAATATTATTATTATTTTATTAGAAACTGTCAATATGTCCATTCATTCTGTAGAGAACAGAGAGAGAAGAGAGAGAAAAGTATGGGACAGGAGTCCACCAGAGAGACTACTCCGTCTGTTAGAGAAAGCCCAGCTCAGCACCGCTTTCAGAACCTACTCCATACACACAGAAGGTATGTCCTGCTTACAGGGAAATCTTATTATAAACATTTACAGTAGAATGTACCTGTCTACCACATGGTTGGTCATGCATGCTGAATCCTTATTTTCTGATTGAAGGTATTGTAAGAGATGACTGACGTGTGACTTGCCAAGTGATATTTTAGAGGAAGTGACGCAGATCTCTCAACATCCCGAACGTCGTTCCATTAGTGATAGACGTGGTTGCAACTCTTCCATGTGCTTCCATCTCTACTGTTATGACTTACTGCAAGGTCTACCACTGTTCAGCGGTGGAAAAAGTACCCAATTGTCATACTTGATTAAAAGTAAAAAATACTCAAGTAAAAGTGAAAGTCACCCAGTAAAATACTACTTGAGTAAAAGTATTTGGTTTTAAATATACTTAAGTATCAAAAGTAAAAGTATAAATCATTTCAAATTCCTTCAATTAAGCAAACCGGACAGCATCGTTTTTTTCTAGTTTTTTTTATTTACGGATAGCCAGGGGCACGCTCCAACACTCTGACATCATTTACAAACGAAGCATGTGTTTAGTGAGTCTGCCAGATCAGGGGCAGTAGGGATGACCAGGGATGTTCTCTTGATAAGTGTGGGAATTAGGCAATTTTCCTGTCCTGCTAAGCATTCAAAATGTAACGAGCTGCCCAGTGACACAAGCCTACCAGACGAGCTAAATCACTTCTATGCTCGCTTCGAGGCAAGCAACACTGAAACATGCATGAGAGCATCAGCTGTTCCGGATGACTGTGTGATCACGCTCTCCGTAGCCGATGTGAGTAAGACTTTTAAGCAGGTCAACATTCACAAGGCCGCAAGGCCAGACAGATGACCAAGACGCGTACTCCGAGCATGCGCTGACCAACTGGCAAGTTCTTCACTGACATCTTCAACATGTCCCCGACTGAGTCTGTAATACCAACATGTTTCAAGCAGACCACCATAGTCCCTGTGCCCAATAACACTAAGATAACCTGCCTAAATGACTACCGACCCGTAGCACTCACGTCTGTAGCCATGAAGTGCTTTGAAAGGCTGGTCATGGCTCACATCAACACCATTATCCCAGAAACCCTAGACCCACTCCAATTTGCATACCGCCCCAACAGATACACATATGATGCAATCTCTATTGCACTCCACACTGCCCTTTCCCACCTGGACAAGAGGAACACCTACGTGAGAATGCTGTTCATTGACTACAGCTCAGCGTTCAACACCATAGTGCCCTCAAAGCTCATCACTAAGCTAAGGACCCTGGGACTAAACACCTCCCTCTGCAACTGGATCCTGGACTTCCTGACGGGCCGCCCCCAGGTGGTAAGGGTAGGTAACAACACATCTGCCACGCTGATCCTCAACACGGGGGCCCCTCAGGGGTGCGTGCTCAGTCCCCTCCTGTACTCCCTGTTCACCCATGACTGCATGGCCAGGCATGACTCCAACACCATCATTAAGTTTGCCGACGACACAACAGTGGTAGGCCTGATCACAGACAACTATGAGACAGCCTATAGGGAGGAGGTCAGAGACCTGGCCGTGTGGTGCCAGGATAACAACCTCTCCCTCAACGTGATCAAGATAAAGGAGATTATTGTGGACTACAGGACAAAAAGAGGACTGAGCACGCCACCATTCTCATCGACGGGGCTGTAGTGGAACAGGTTGAGAGCTTCAAGATCCTTGGTGTCCACATCACCAACAAACTGTCATGGTCCAAACACACCAATTACCCCTCAGGAGACTGAAAAGTTTTGGCATGGGTCCTCAGATCTTCAAAAAGTTATACAGCTGCACCATCGAGGGCATCCTGACTGGGGAGAGGCGACGGTCGAGAGCCATGCGTCCTCCAAAACACAACCCTGCCAAGCCGCACTGCTTCTTGACACACTGCTCGCTTAACCCGGAAGCCAGCCGTACCAATGTGTTGGAGGAAATGCCGTCCAAACGAAATCAGCTTGCAGGTGCCCGGCCCGCCACAAGGAGGCGCTAGAGCACGATGGGACAAGGAAATCCCGGCCGGCCAAACCTTCCCCTAACCCATTTAGGCAGGTTAGACTGACCAGGTGAATCCAGGTGAAAGCTATGATCCCTTATTGATGTCCCTTGTTAAATCCACTTCATTCAGTGTAGATGAAGGGGAGAAGACTGGTTAAAGAATAATTTTTAAGCGAATTGAGATATGCATTGTGTATGTGTGGCCATTCAGAGGGTGAATGGGCAAGACAAAATATTAAAGTTCCTTTGAACGGGGTATGGTAGTAGGTGCCAGGCGCACCGGTTTGTGTGAAGAACTGCAAAGTTGCTGGTTTTTCACGCTCAACCGTTTCCCGTGTGTATCAAGAATGGTCCACCACCCAAAGGACATCCAGCCAAACTTGACACAGCCGTGGGAAGCATTGGAGTCACCACGGGTCAGCATCCCTGTGGAACGCTTTCGACCACCTTGTAGAGTCCATGCCCCGACGAATTGAGGCTGTTCTGACGGCAAAAGGGGGGTGCAACTCAATATCAGGAAGGCGTTCCTAATGTTTTGTTCACTCAGTGTACACTCATTCTGATTTAGGGCTAGGCACTGATTTTATAGGGGTCAAAAGTAGGGCCCTATAATGTATGGAATAGGGCCTTGTCCCACACTACATAGGGTAAAGGGTGTGATTTGAAAACGTGCCCCTCTACCCCAGGGGAAGACCCTCTGGTAGGTCCCCTGTCCAGGGGAGGAGGGGACGACACAGACGGACAGACAGCCGGACAGACAGAGGATGAAGACAGGCTGCAACCACGCTCTGATGACGAGGACACGTGAGTCCTCCTGGAAGCCCATTGGCCAGACCAGCCATAAGTTGTGTCCCAAATGGCACCCTGATCCCCATATAGTGCACTACTTTTGACCAGAGCCCTGTCGGGTGTAATTTGGGACCAACACAGAGAATAGGAAGTCATAAAACCATTAGACTCTATAGGTCCATCTGATGCATTAAATTAGTTAAATAACTCATGCTTCAGTGGAACCATATTGAGGAGTCAATACCCATCCATTCTGTGAATATTACCCTTCTATCATTTGGGGATGTTTGTATCAAGCCTCTCGGAGTAGGAGTGCTGATCTTTGGATCAGTTTTGCCTCTCAGATCATAATGAATAAGATGAGATGGACATGGAGGAGCTGACTTTAGATCAGCACTTCTACTCTGAGAGAAGCTTGATACATACGGTTCCCTGTTTTCTAACAATACCATGTCCTATCCTCAGAGACTTTGAAGAGGACTGTCCCTGTGACTGGATGGATGAACTGGAACAGATGTCTATGGACCACTGATGTTACCTAGCGGTCTGCCTACCTAGATACAGTCATGGCCAAAATTGTTGGCACCCCTGAAATTTTTCCAGAAAATGAAGTATTTCTCACAGAAAAGTATTGAAATTACACATGTTTTGCTATGCACATGTTTATTTCCTTTGTGTGTATTGGAATAACACAAAAAAAACAGGAAAAAAGCAAATTTGACATAATTTCACACAAAACTCAAAAAATGGGCCGGACAAAATGATTGGCACCCTTAACTTAATATTTAGTTGCACACCCTTTGGAAAAAATAACTGAAATCAGTCGCTTCCTATAACCATCAATAAGCTTCTTACACCTCTCACCCGGAATTTTGGACCACTCTTCTTTTGCAAACTGCTCCAGGTCTCTCATATTGGATGGGTGCCTTTTCCCAACAGCAATTTTAAGATCTCTCCACAGGTGTTCAATGGGATTAAGATCTGGACTCATTGCTGGCCACTTCAGAACTCTCCAGCGCTTTGTTGCCATCCATTTCTGGGTGCTTTTTGAAGTATGTTTGGGGTCATTGTCCTGCTGGAAGACCCATGATCTCGGACGCAAACCCAGCTTTCTGACACTGGGCCCTACATTGCGACCCAAAATCCTTTGGTAATCCTCAGATTTCATGATGCCTTGCACACAGTCAAGGCACCCAGTGCCAGAGGCAGCAAAACAACCCCAAAACATCTTTGAACCTCCACCATATTTGACTGTAGGTACTGTGTTCTTTTCTTTGAAGGCTTCATTACATTTTCGGTAAACAGTAGAACGATGTGCTTTACCAAAAAGCTCTATCTTGGTCTCATCTGTCCATAAGACGTTCTCCCAGAAGGAATTTGGCTTACTCATGTACATTTTGGCAAACTGTAGTCTTGCTTTTTTATGTCTCTGTGTCAGCAGTGGGGTCCTCCTGGGTCTCCTGCCATAGCGTTTCATTTCATTCAAATTTCGACGTATAGTTCGCGCTGACACTGATGCACCCTGAGCCTGCAGGACAGCTTGAATTTCTTTGGAACTTGTTTGGGGCTGCTTATCCACCATCCGGACTATCCTGCGTTGCAACCTTTCATCAATTTTTCTCTTCCGTCCACGTCCAGGGAGATTAGCTACAGTGCCATGGGTTGCAAACTTCTTGATCATGTTGCGCACTGTGGACAAAGGAACATCTAGATCTCTGGAGATGGACTTGTAACCTTGAGATTGTTGATATTTTTCCACAATTTTGGTTCTCAAGTCCTCAGACAGTTCTCTTTTCCTCTTTCTGTTCTCCATGCTTAGTGTGGCACACACAGAAACACAATGCAAAGACTGAGTCAACTTCTCTCCTTTTTATCTGCTTTCAGGTGTGATTTTTAGATTGCCCACACCTGTTACTTGCCCCAGGTGAGTTTAAAGGAGCATCACATGCTTGGAACAAACTTATTTATCCACAATTTTGAAAGGGTGCCAATAACTTTGTCCGGCCCATTTTTTTAGTTTTGTGTGAAATTATGTCAAATTTGCTTTTTTCCTGTTTTTTTTTTGTGTTATTCCAATACACACAAAGGAAATAAACATGTGCATAGCAAAACATGTGTAATTTCAATACTTTTCTGTGAGAAATACTTCATTTTCTGGAAAAATTTCAGGGGTGCCAACAATTTTGGCCATGACTGTATGTCCACTCCAGTAGTCCCCTGTCTACTACAGTAGTCCCCTGTCCACTCCAGTAGTCCCCTGTCCACTACAGTAGTCCCCTGCCCACTACAGTAGTCCCCTGTCCACTACAGTAGTCCCCTGTCCTCTACAGTAGTCCCCTGTCCTCTACAGTAGTCCCCTGTCCACTACAGTAGTCCCCTGTCCACTACAGTAGTCCCCTGTCCACTGTCTACAGTATGTCCACTACAGCAGTCCCCTGTCCTCTACAGTAGTCCCCTGTCCTCTACAGTAGTCCCCTGTCCACTACAGTAGTCCCCTGTCCTCTACAGTAGTCCCCTGTCCACTACAGTAGTCCCCTGCCCACTACAGTAGTCCCCCTGTCCACTACAGTAGTCCACTGTCTACAGTATGTCCACTACAGTAGTCCCCTGTCCACTACAGTAGTCCCCTGTCCACTACAATAGTCCCCTGTCCTCTACAGTAGTCCCCTGTCCACTACAGTAGTCCCCTGCCCACTGTCTACAGTATGTCCACTACAGTAGTCCCCTGTCCACTACAGTAGTCCCCTGTCCACTAGAGTAGTCCCCTGTCCACTAGAGTAGTCCCCTGTCCACTACAGTAGTCCCCTGTCCACTACAGTAGTCCACTGTCTACAGTATGTCCACTACAGTAGTCCCCTGTCCACTACAGTAGTCCCCTGTCCACTACAGCAGTCCCCTGTCCACTACAGTAGTCCCCTGTCCACTACAGTAGTCCCCTGTCCACTACAGTAGTCCCCTGTTCACTACAGTAGTCCACTGTCTACAGTATGTCCACTACAGTAGTCCCCTGTCCACTACAGTAGTCCCCTGTCCACTACAGTAGTCCCCTGTCCTCTACAGTAGTCCCCTGTCCACTACAGTAGTCCCCTGCCCACTGTCTACAGTATGTCCACTACAGTAGTCCCCTGTCCACTACAGTAGTCCCCTGTCCACTACAGTAGTCCCCTGTCCACTAGAGTAGTCCCCTGTCCTCTACAGTAGTCCCCTGTCCACTACAGTAGTCCCCTGCCCACTACAGTAGTCCCCTGTCCACTACAGTAGTCCACTGTCTACAGTATGTCCACTACAGTAGTCCCCTGTCCACTACAGTAGTCCCCTGTCCACTACAATAGTCCCCTGTCCTCTACAGTAGTCCCCCTGTCCACTACAGTAGTCCCCTGCCCACTGTCTACAGTATGTCCACTACAGTAGTCCCCTGTCCACTACAGTAGTCCCCTGTCCACTAGAGTAGTCCCCTGTCCACTACAGTAGTCCCCTGTCCACTACAGTAGTCCCCTGTCCACTACAGTAGTCCACTGTCTACAGTATGTCCACTACAGTAGTCCCCTGTCCACTACAGTAGTCCCCTGTCCACTACAGTAGTCCCCTGTCCACTACAGTAGTCCCCTGTCCACTACAGTAGTCCCCCTGTCCACTACAGTAGTCCCCTGTTCACTACAGTAGTCCACTGTCTACAGTATGTCCACTACAGTAGTCCCCTGTCCACTACAGTAGTCCCCTGTCCACTACAGTAGTCCCCTGTCCTCTACAGTAGTCCCCTGTCCACTACAGTAGTCCCCTGCCCACTGTCTACAGTATGTCCACTACAGTAGTCCCCTGTCCACTACAGTAGTCCCCTGTCCACTACAGTAGTCCCCTGTCCACTAGAGTAGTCCCCTGTCCACTACAGTAGTCCCCTGTCCACTACAGTAGTCCCCTGTTCACTACAGTAGTCCACTGTCTACAGTATGTCCACTACAGTAGTCCCCTGTCCACTCCAGTAGTCCCCTGTCCACTCCAGTAGTCCCCTGTCCACTACAGTAGTCCCCTGTCCACTACAGTAGTCCCCTGTCCACTACAGTAGTCCCCTGTCCACTACAGTAGTCCCCTGTCCACTACAGCAGTCCCCTGTCCACTACAGCAGTCCCCTGTCCACTACAGTAGTCCCCTGTTCACTACAGTAGTCCCCTGTCCACTACAGTAGTCCCCTGTCCACTACAGCAGTCCCCTGTCCAGTACAGCAGTCCCCTGTCCACTACAGCAGTCCCCTGTCCACTACAGTAGTCCCCTGTCCACTGTCTACAGTATGTCCACTACAGTAGTCCCCTGTCCACTACAGTAGTCCCCTGTCCACTACAGTAGTCCCCTGTCCACTACAGTAGTCCCCTGTCCACTACAATAGTCCCCTGTCCACTACAGTAGTCCCCTGTCCACTGTCTACAGTAGTCCCCTGTCCACTGTCTACAGTATGTCCACTACAGTAGTCCCCTGTCCACTACAGTAGTCCCCTGTCCACTACAGTAGTCCCCTGTTCACTACAGTAGTCCCCTGTCCACTACAGTAGTCCGCTGTCCACTACAGTAGTCCCCTGTCCACTACAGTAGTCCCCTGTCCACTACAGTAGTCCCCTGTTCACTACAGTAGTCCCCTGTCCACTACAGCTGTCCCCTGTCCACTACAGTAGTCCCCTGTCCACTGTCTACAGTATGTCCACTACAGTAGTCCCCTGTCCACTACAGTAGTCCCCTGTCCACTACAGCAGTCCCCTGTCCACTACAGTAGTCCCCTGTCCACTACAGTAGTCCCCTGTCCACTACCGTAGTCCCCTGTCCACTACAGTAGTCCCCTGTCCACTACAGTAGTCCCCTGTCCACTACAGTAGTCCCCTGTCCACTACAGTAGTCCCCTGTCCACTACAGCAGTCCCCTGTCCACTACAGCAGTCCCCTGTCCACTACAGCAGTCCCCTGTCCACTACAGTAGTCCCCTGCCCACTGTCTACAGTATGTCCACTACAGTAGTCCCCTGTCCACTACA